CACTTCCCAATTGATTGTGTTTCCTTGGGCAGCGGTGTTTTAACTCTATGCCGGTTGGTTTATCTTGTTAACTAGCACTTGCTTGGGGATCAGACTGTCCTCAGCAAATGCCGCCTTAAGACCTGCCTGGTGAGTCATGCATCCTCTTGTCTCCTGCGTGAACCCCAGTCCTTCCATCCTAAGCTCAGGTTGTATATATGTGTAAATAAAACCACATATCCTGAAGATACCACAGCCTCCATTGACCCGCATTCCAAAGTAAATGAAGCCTGGGAAAAGCACATGGAACTCCCAGAGTCTCTCACCACATGGAGGTTAAGGTGGTGTGTAACAATGCATTGAGATGCAGTGTGGAATAGTGGTTAGACCTGGGAGACAAGGGTTCAAATCCCCACTCAGCCATGAAGCTCGCTTGGGTGATCTTGGGCCCAGTGACCTTGGGCCAGTCACTGCCTCTCAGCCTAACCTACCTCCCTAGGTTGTTGGGATTAAATGAGGGAGGAGAACCATGTACACCACCTTAAGTGCCTAGGAGAAAAAGGTGAGCTATAAATGCAATGAGATAAATAATAAATACATTGGGCTGTTGTGTAGAAAATTGGCAGATTAGTGACTGCAATGTGGCATTTTAATATTTTGCTTTATCTTTGTCCTTGTTGTTACCCACCCTGGGTCTTGCAACAAATGGTGGGATATGTTTGTTGCTTTCTTTTTTAAGGTTTATTAAATTTTCTCAGAAATACAGTCATACCTTGGTTTTCGAACAGCTTAGTTCTCGAACATTTTGGCTCCCGAATGGCGCAAACCCAGAAGTGACTGTTCCGGTTTGCGAACTATTTTTGGAAGCTGAACGTCTGACGGGGCTTCCACGGCTTCTGATTGGCTGCAGGAGCTGAAAATCAGAAGCTGCACGTTGGTTTTCCCGTGTTTTGGAATTCAAATGGACTTCTGGAATGGATTCCATGTGACTTCCAGGGTACAACTATAGCAGTACAGTAGAACCTCAGGTTACAGACGCTTCAGGTTACAGACTCTGCTAACCCAGAAATAGTACCTCAGGTTAAGAACTGTGCTTCAGGATGAGAACAGAAATTGTGCGGCGGCAGCGCGGCAGCAGCAAGAGGCCCAATTAGCTAAAGTGGTACCTCAGGTTAAGAACAGTTACAGGTTAAAAACAGACCTCCAGAACGAATTAAGTTCTTAACCCGAAGTACCACTGTATAAAAATGAAATAAACCATGTAGAAAACAACCAGAAACTGTGTTACAATTATGGTAATGCAAGTAGGCAGATCCAGACTTGATTCTGCACATTTTAGTCAATGAAGGAACCAATAACCAGAGTGTCTAATACAGCTGTAGAAGCAGGAAATCGCAACCAGACAGCCTCACCAGGCATGTGTTGCTGAGGGTGGAGGGTTTCCAGTGCACGATTCTTGCTTATGAAATATATGAAAGGGAGCCATGTAACACTGAAGTGGCCGTGTTTCATTACCCCTTCAGCATCCTCTGTGGATGGGTTAAGTGGACAACGCAATATCCCACACTTTCTTAAGCCACCTTTCACAAGATGAACAGGTAGGAGACTTCTGGAATCTGGAATCCCTTTTCTTTTGCTTTCCTTTGACACATTTATTGAGTTTTCAAAAACTACAGTGTACAAATGAGACAAACAACAAAGAACGATGACTGTGTGGAGCACATTGTTGCAATTGGAATGAACAGAAGGCTTACAGTTGCATCATAATAAAACAATAGATGCTGTAGTCTTGGATGCTACAAAGGCAGACTTTTATTCACCAGGGTTTTTTAAACAGAGGTTGGATTCTCTAGCTGTGTTCCCGGCATTGCAGAGGGTTAGACTAGATGATCCTTGGTATCCCATCCAGCCCTATGATTATATGATGCTATTATTCTATGAAGGGACATTTTAGAAGTCAGAGTAACATATCAATAAGGCAGCCTCACCACACAGAGCCCCTTGTTGTCGGGGGCCTAAGCTGTCAGTGCACTCTTTGTATTTATAAAGCATCTAATCGGAAACCATGCATCCTCAAAATGGTCTCATTCCCTAACCCCTCTTAGAACCCTCCTCTGTTGGGTTAAACACTCAGACAAGGCCATGTCCTGCACCTTCTCAAACCAATAGGAACACCATGCAGACTCCCAGCATTGGGAGATTTTGAATCTGGCTGCAGGCGGCAGCAAAGCAAGCAACTCCTTGTTTTATATGGGTGGAATCTGAGACACTTTCCATGGCTTAGCAATCTCAGTTTGGTCTGCAGCTAACAACAGCGCTACCAACTCTTTGTGCCCAAAAGGGGAGGGGGTAAACTTGCTTTCAGTGACTAGGAGTGCCAAGACTGGATCTGGAGTGAAGGCTTGGTTTGTTATTGCGGAGAGATCCACAAATATACATCACCAATAAGATGTTAGTTTTTCACACCCTCTCCCTGCCCCCCACATATGGGAAAAGGTCTCCTTATGGCCACAAGCTCTCCAACATAGTGGCATGAGATAAGTTGCTTTTTCATAAACAGGCAATAAAAGAAGAAATATCAGCTTGCAAAGCAGGGAGGGGGAATCAGCTCTACAAGCAGGTACAGTGGTACCTCGGGTTAATTCGTTCTGGAGGTCCGTACTTAACCTGAAACTGTTCTTAACCTGAAGCACCACTTTAGCTAATGGGGCCTGCTGCTGCTGCTGCTGCTGCTGCTGCTGCTGCTGCTGCTGCACGATTTCTGTTCTCATCCTGAAGCAAAGTTCTTAACCTGAAGCACTATTTCTGGGTTAGCAGAGTCTGTAGCCTGAAGCGTATGTAACCTGAAGCGTATGTAACCCGAGGTACCACTGTATGGTGAAGATAACCATGAGGACTAGCTTCCAAAAGCCCAACCTAGTGGAAATATTCTCTGCCTTCGGTAGGCACATGACAGGACATCATTCCGTAACAAACAACTCCTTTGCGCAGGAAGTGACACCATCCTAATGTGTCAAAAAAGTGGCGTGGAATTGTGCAATTTGCCTGTTTTTCACAATCACACTCCACTCCAATGAAGTAAACATAGAGCTCAGTTGCCTCTTTGTGGAGCACTGAAAAGGAGCACTGAAAAGGCTCCTCTGTGTGGAGCACTGGCAAGACCTGAGCCCATTTCAGATGAGAGATGTAGAGCTATCAGTGAAGAAGAAAACTCAAGCCCCCCTTCCTTCCAACCCCACCCCTCACCATCCAAGTGTCCCTTCTAAAGCTGGGAAGAGAGTCTACACACGCCGTTCTCCCACTTCCGCCTTCCAAGCATGGATATCTCCGCATATGTCATCAAAACACTCCTTAAATATAGTACTTTGGTCAAATTGATCCCCAACAATATGATCTATTCAGGCAATTCCAAGTTTTGAAGAACATAAGAAGAGCCTGCTGGATCAGGCCAATGGCCCAGCCAGCCCAGCACCCTATTCTCACAGTGGCCAACCAGATGCCCCAATGGGAAACCTGCAAGCAGGATTTGTGCACAAGAGCCCTCTTCCCTCCTGTGGTTTCCAGCACCTGGCATTTGGAGGCATTTACTGCCTCAAACAATGGAGTCATATCATATAATCATCATGGCTAGTAGCTATCAATAGATTTTTCCTCCATGAATTAGTCTACTTCATCCTCACATCCTTGTGGAAGGAAGGTTTATTGATTTGTTTCATCTTTGCTCTTGTTTTTATTATGTACTTTGTGGGGGGGGGTGTTTCTGTGAACTCTTGTGAGATCTGCCCCGACAGCAGTATACAATTTAATAAATCAATTTTAAAAATTAAAAAACATGGAAGGGAGGCAACTGGGTTTACTTTCAGGCAACCTGTTTATTTATTGAGAATTTTGTCCCCCTTTTTGTACAACATATGTAGCAGGTTAAACAACACTGGCTTATTTATAAAACTAAATTCTGATTTGTTTGTGGGGAGGTTATACAACGTCTCATCAAGCATTTGGTATCCCACACTTCCCAGTGCATTTTCCTGTCACTTTCCGTACGGCAAAAACTTCAGGGGGGGGTTATTTTATTTTTATTTTTTGGAGCAGGGGAGCAAGTTGGCTGCCCAAGAGCACCAAATTAGATTTAATTGTACAACAAGAATTTGCCAGCATGTGATTGAAACCCACACAGAAATAGTGACAATGAAGCTTCCAAAGCCCCATGCATGTAGAACTTACCAAGCTCCAAATTCCCTCCATTCTGACCACTGGAGCATCCTTGGATCTGAACTTTGAGCAGGTACCATTTTTTAGCTTTTAAGCTTCCCCCCCCCCCTTGCTGGGTGGGCGGCATGGCCTTCTCAATGTGCTTGCTCTGGAAGCCTAGAGATGCTCATGTGAGATTTCGCAGCAACTTGGATGGCCCTGCAAAATCTCAAGGGAGCATCCCAGAACCCATGCACTGAGCACCCGCCCCCCAGCAAGGCAGAGAGCTGAAAATGTCTTTCCATGCTGGGAAATGCCAGTCAGAAAGAGCTTCCAAGATTGTTTGCATTTAACTTGCGTAATTTCAACCAGGCAGCCTTCAATCACATAAGGTTGAAATCCCTCTAGTTAAAGGGACGTAAGGTGTTGTCATATTGTAATGAAGCCTAGATACTATTTTCTACTGCTCAGCTCAGCTGCTTCGAGCATGGTGCTGATAATGCCAAGGTCATGGGTTCGATCCCCATATGGGCCACCTGTGTATTCCTGCATTGCAGGGGTTGGACTAGAACTCTGGGAGTCTCTTCCAACTCTACAATTCCATGATTCTATCATTTTAATAGAAATAAGTTAATCTTTGACCTGTTGCAAGCGCTGAAGGATGCCAAAGACAGGGACCTAGAATAAGTTCCATCTTTCATCACCCCCACCCCACCCCTCCCGGGTCTCATGGCTCTTTAAGAAGTCCTCCATGCCAAACTGATGTCCCTCTAGCTTTGGCAGAAGCTGCCCTGCTGTTCAGCATTCTGTGGCCGACTCCTTCCCCCAAGCAAGTTGCAGTTTGGGAGCTTTCTGGGGCAGCACAACAACAGCTCTGAGGCTAAGGAGAGCTTGCAGGGAGCCCAACACACAATTCCGAATCAATTTTATCAAGTGAGTCTCTTGACGATTTTTCATAATCATCTGCACACTTCAGTTTTATTTTATTTTATATACTCCTGATCCCCCTTGCTAACAGAGCAGGGTCAGTGGGCAGTACCTCCCCCTTGGGGGCTGTGGGATTATCTGGGGGGGGGGCACTCCTGGAGGTGTAAATGGCTATCAGACTATCACTGGATCTGTTGACTGAATTAAACAAAATGGTTTTAATTGGATTTTGAATAAATGTGCAATTAATTGTGACTGCTTTGAATTTTATTGTGCTGTTATCTTCCTTTGTGGGTCATGCAAACTATTATGAATTATGTTTTTTAATAGCGTATGGTAAGGGGCACTGGGGATGAGTTTATGGAACCAAGAGGGCAGTGGCCCAAAAAAGTTTGGGGGCCACCAGTCTAAATCCTAATAGATCTTGCTGGGCTGCACAGTCAGGCCCAGTCACACCTTTCTGCCCCCCCCCCACCTCCCGAAGATCACCCATGCAGCTGTCTCTGCTCTGACAGGTTTCTGAGCCATCTCTGCCTGAAGGTGTTGAAGATTGCCACACCGCCTGCACATTGCAAAGCCCCTATAAAGCTGTGAAGGTTGGGGAAGTTGAGGCAGGGGCTGCCTCTCCCAGCCCTGCGTGGCATGTGTGTGTGAGTGTGCCAGCCACACAGTTCCTTCCTTCCTGAGAGACACTGTTGGGCAGATAACGCCTTTGGAGAAGCATTTTGCAATTACCTTGCCGAGAGGGCGAGAGAGAGAAGCGGAGTAACGGCAGTCCTTGAGCTGGGAAGCAGAAATTTGTGTGTTTCCCCCACTCTCTCTTTACAAACTTATTCAGGGGACGCAGCACATTGGCAGGGGATTCCACTCCAATCTCCACCGTCGCCATTTTCCAGAATGAACAGAGAGTCAGTGGAAAATAAGCAGAGGTAAGTTCTGGGGATCCCAGATATTTTTTCTTTTTTAATTGCTTGCCACTCAATGCATGGGGCCATGTGCTCAGTTGTGTCGCCAGATTATGACTGTGTTTTGCCCTGTCCAGGGTCTGCTGTCTTAAAGAATGTCGTCCTAAATATGTACTGGGGCTCATGGGGCATTATTGCCCAGCCAAAGAAGAGTGGCCAGCTGGCATTTTGGTGCTGGGTAATGCTGACATGTAGAGCTAAACATTGTACCGGGAAATAGTTGGAACTCTGCTCCAGATATGTGGGACACAGGACAGCTCTGCTTGTGATGGAAATGTCTCCAGAATGAAGTTGTGGGGTAGAGATCAGAAGAATGGTCTTGCTAGGTCAGCCACAGAACTGTCTAGTCCAGACCCCTCAGCACTCACAAGTAGGGCTTGAGGGAATGACCATTTCCCCTTTGTCTCCATTGTCTAGCATTAAGGCAGAGTGCCCCAGCACATGGAGGTTCCATTTAGTCTCCATGGCTAATAGGGAACAAATGTGGGACCTCCAACCGAATGTTGGAGAGTACCTCCTTTGCCCCCAAACAGGAGTTTGATTGTTGTTAAATCCTACACTTGCATTATATCGGGAACAGAGAGAGGCCAGTGCTGTATCTTAGCACTTGCTCAGGAGCAGAAGAAGAGGAAAACACACAACCAGGAAAGACAAAAATGGCAGGAAAGCAGCAGGCATGCCCTGGACAGATCACTTATTCCCACCAGTGAGGGATTTTGCCAATGGGATGAGGGAGGAATCTGATTCCGTTCTCACTTAAAGGCGAAGCTCCCTAATTCACGCTTTACGAAATGAAGCTGCCCTTTGAAATGGGCACTTCTCCGAATCTTGCAATGTCATTCTCCAGCCAAGTAATGTGTGCAAAAATGCATATTCTAGGATAAAATACATTGAAATGTATATATCAGTGAAAATAACAGACAGAAATGCATGCTATAATAAGGGGAATTTTTTGCAAAAATGTGTAGATTGGGGGAAACCATGTGCACATTAGGAGAAATTCACACTAAAGTGCTGGTGTATTTTCACGAGGACATTTTTTATTTAAAAAACCAAAATCACAAACTGATGCGTGGAAAATTTAGAGAACTGAACTCAAGACACTGAGATGAATCGAAACTGACTGACTTGCCCCTCTGTAGATGCCACCCACCCATGAAGGGAGCCAGTGACTGCTCACAACATCAGCCACCATTCCAGAAACCAGCCACTTCTCATGGTTGTGGGGTACCCAAGCAATTAGACCAATCAGGCCTGGCATTAAAGAATGAGCCTGTGGGTTTTGCCTCTTTTGAAGTATGCAAGAGTTGGTATTTAAGAGTGGTGATCCTAGCCTACCGGCCCACAGGACTACTAAGTATAGGGCCCTAACACACGCACCAAGTCACAACTCAAAGTTCTATCAGCCTCCCCTAGCCGTGAGCTAGCCTTATGCCTGTGAAGTTGCCACAACCCTGTGCCCTATCCTTGGCATTCAGACATGCACCTGTTGCTGGAAGAACTAGCCATTGATTCTGATGTACCCATCACAGCAGCTGAGCTTGGGGCACTTTAGATTCTTCTTCTGAGTTCTATGACAGCACAATTTAGTTTTGCTACAAGCGTCAACAGATACAGGTGTCGGGGATCTGACAATAGCAGGCTCAGAATGTGATGCAGGATTGGTGCGGATGCTGTAGAAGTGTCCTTGTTTTCTCCCAAAATGTTCAAACTACGTATCTTCAAATAAACTAAATTGTGCAAAGCACCTGATGCTCTCTATCATCTAAAGCTAATTAAATCCAGCAGCACAGTGCCTGGAACTTTTCTCCACTCAAAGAAGTGAGGAGCTCAGAGCAGTTGTTTTTCTGCTATAAGTAATGTAAAAAAGATAAATGGAGCAGAGAGTTGTAGACTTGAGGCATAGCATGACAATCCCTAATTTGCCTGTCAGCTCACCAGGGGTGGCCTTCAGAACTATCCCGATATCAGTGATTCATCTCATTGTTTTCGTCTAGCCTTTTTTCCCCCTTTGTTCTCACCAAGAAGGTGAGCATGCGCCTGGCCTCCCTCACCGCCCCAGAAACGTCACAGGGGACCCACACAATTAAATGCCACACACACAAAATTCTGCATATAGTAAACTAGCAGGTCAGGAAGAAGCCTAGGCCAGAAGCCCTTCTCTCTGACAGACGGGGGGTTACAAATCTACAAGGCCTGCTTCAACAAAGGCATTAGTACCCTGCTTTCCATCCCAGGCTCAGCTCTGCAGCAGCAACAGGGAATTCCTCTGAGAATGTGAAGAGTGCCTTTCCCTTGCTAACCAGACACAACCCTCCCACACCTGGGATTGAGAGACAAAATCACATCCATGCCATACATTTATACTACTTAAACAGTCATTACTTTCCCCACCCTCAAAGAAACCTGAGAGCAGAAGTATTTAATGGGGCTGGGAACTGTACCTCTGTAAGGGGCCTATCTGTCAATGTTTCCCTTTTTTTAAGGGAAATTCTCTTATTCCGAATAGGATTCCTCACAAGAAAAGGGAAAAGTTGACAGCTATGGTAAGGGGTCCCCTAACAACTCTTAGCACCCTTAATAAATGACATTTCCCAGGATTCTTTGGAGTAAGCCATGACTGTTAAAGTGGTATGATGGTGCTTAAAATGTGTGGTGCAGATGTGAATGTAAAATAGAGGCAATCTCCAAAAGAAAGCGGAAAGGGTAATGGAGAACATTAGCTCCCCACCAGGAAGGTGTGTGTGTTGCATTGGTTATGTAACACCTGCCTTGGATTCACTTGACCAACAGCGAATCAACACCTGCCCCTTCTTACACAACAGCTCTCCTCCGGTGCTGATGCCGACATCTGAACCGGACTTGCAAACTGCCTTTCAGATTCAGTATTGATATCAAGGGTGGCGTAAAACAAGGCTGCATTTTAGCCCCACTCCTACTTGATCTCTGCATAAATGACATTGTTCAGGAGCTCTCTTCTCCCTTTCCGCACACGCAGCTCGATTTCTGCAGATGGTGCGGCTCCTGTTTCATTCCCCCAAGTAGGTGCGAGATTATTATTTTCCAAATCTGGAACTTATGGCAATCAGGGAGGTTAATTTGCTCATTATATTTACTAAATTGGCGGTGTGCATCAAAAGGCATACACAGCATAAGCGGTTGTATAATTGAACAGTGTTGCCCACTTAAGTACTTTGGCTTTATCTTTGCGAAAACTCTCTGTGGCGCATTTATTTTGAGGCGGTTAAAAATTCACATGCCTGGTCATTGCAGGGCTAGAAAGACACTTTATTATACTTCCGACCACCATTCATTCAAATCAATATTAACAGTTTCTGCTGCTCAAACTGTATTCTTCTTGTTGTATAGTACAGCTATCTGGGGGCAGCTCTGGCAGAGATTAATTGGATAGCATCCAAAATAAGGCTGTGTACTACTACTACTACTACTACTACTACTACTAATAATAATAATAATAATAATAATAATAATAATAATTTATTATCTATACCCCGCCCATCTGACTGGGTTTCACCAGCCACTCTGGGCAGTTTCCAACAAAGATTAAAAATACATTAAAATTAAAAATACATTAACATGACGTTAGCTGCAATCCCTGTTGTTACATGCCACCCCAATCTCCAAATAGTAAGAGGTTTTTATTGTCGGATTGACCTTCTGACAATTCTGGAAAGAAGATTCCTGCATTGGACTAGATCAGTGTTTCCCAACCGGTGTTCCGCGGCACACCAGTGTGCCGTGAGACCTTGCCTGGTGTGCCGTGGGAGGGAGGCGGGAGAGGCTCCGAAGCGGGGCGGGGGGCGGGAACCTGCAGCGCGGGGCGCCCTTTGGAGGACGCCCCGTGCTTCGCGCAGCTGTCCGCAAGCCTTGGGCGCCTGGGGGAACTGCCCCCCCCCCGGCGCGCAAGGCTTGCGGGCGGCAGCCTGCAGCGCTGGGCGTCCTTCGGAGGACGCCCCGTTCTTCGCGCAGCTGTCCGCAAGCCTTGCGCGCCCAGGGGAACTCCCCCCCCAGGGCAAGGCTTGCGGGCGGCAGCCTGCAGCGCTGGGCGTCCTTCGGAGGACGCCCCGTTCTTCGCGCAGCTGTCCGCAAGCCTTGCGCGCCCAGGGGAACTCCCCCCCCGCGTGCACGGCTTGCGGGCGGCAGCCAGCAGCGCGGAGCACGGGGCGCCCTCCGTAGGAGGCTGCGGAGGGTGGCGCGGAGCTGCCCGCGCTCCAGGGCTTCTTGCAGCTCCGCGCCACCCCCGGATCCCGGCGGGAAGCCGCGCGGGGCTGCCTGCGCTCCAGGGCTTCTTGCAGCTCCGCGCCACCCCCCGGATCCCGGCGCGAAGCTGCGCGGGGCTGCCTGCGCTCCAGGGCTTCTTGCAGCTCCGCGCCACCCCCCGGATCCCGGCGCGAAGCCGCGCGGGGCTGCGGAGGGTGGCACGGAGCTGCCTGCGCTCCAGGGCTTCTTGCAGCTCCGCGCCACCCCCCGGATCCCGGCGCGAAGCCGCGCGGGGCTCCGGAGGGTGGCGCGGAGCTACCTGGGCTCCAGGGCTTCCTGCAGCTCTGCACCACCCTCTGGATCCTGGCGCGAAGCCGCGCGGGGCTCCGGAGGGTGGTGCGGAGCTGCCTGCGCTCCAGGGCTTCTTGCAGCTCCGCGCCACCCCCCGGATCCCAGCGCGAAGCCGCACGGGGCTCTGGAGGGTAGCGCAGAGCTGCCTGCATCCCGAAGCCTGGTGCGCGCTGAAGAGCGCCCCCGGGCTTCACGCACCTCTCCGCAAGCCTGGGGAGACCAGTGTGGCTCCCTAGGCTTGCGGATATCAGGCTGTTCTGGGGTCGGGGGAAGCTTGGGCTTCCCCCGCGCCTGCCCCGTGCCTGGGGAGGGGAAAATTTTTTTTTTCTTTATTCTCCCCCAAAAAAATTAGGTGCGTCTTATGGGGCGGTGCGTCCTATGGGGCGAAAAATACGGTAGTCAATATAGGCACAGAGTTAAATTTTTTAACATTTTCTAATGGTGGTGTGCCTCGAGATTTTTTTCATGAAACAAGTGTGCCTTTGCCCAAAAAAGGTTGGGAAACACTGGACTAGATGATCCTCATGGTCCATTCTGATTTTATGTTGCTGCTGCTGTTGTTGTTTTAAAAAAAGAGGGACAAAAGAATGCATGGATAAGCCCTGAGTCCCACTCAGAGGAGACCCACTGAAATCAATGCACCCACATTTATCACGTTCATGAATTTCAAAGGCTCTACTCAGAGTAAAACTGACATTGGCTACAACCCTCTGTCAGCATTTTAGTGCAAATTTATCCTGATATGCACATTTTTGTATGTAGTCTTGACTAATTTACACATTTGCAAGCACTTTCTCCAAAAATAATGTGAGCTTATGCTGTTTTCACTAGCGCATGCATCTTTTTGCACACTTTTCCCTAATAAATGTATTTTGGTAAACATTGACCAGTTGAAGAACTGCTTCACAAAATCTGGATAAGTGAAAATTTTGAAGTTTCTCCTAAAATAAGTATTTTTATACACATTGGCTAGAGAACTGCATCTATATTTATTTGCTTGTGGGGTGTTCATATGCCGTCTTGTTATTAATTTGTTCATCCAGCACTTTTCAATACACTTCCCTAACGACACATACACAAAAACCTGTTTGACTATATCTGGCTTTCTTTAATTGTAAACTATTGATCATGAGAGTTGCTAGCACACAGAAACAACAACTTTTCTAACACAGTTGGATAAATGTCACACTGCTTATGTCAATCTTAAGGATTAACAAAACTTTGCAACTGCATTGTCTCATCACAGCCTCTGCGTCTTCTGTTCTTCCTGTGTCCCAAAGATGGGACACAGACCTTCTAAAGCCAGGTCATGGATATTTTTGGCATGCCTGAAACCAAACGCAGAGGGCGCAGAGCAGCCCAGAACATTGCCTAGCAGGTGCTAATGCCTCGTGATAATCCTCTTTGTGCAATGCAAAAGGTGGTGAAATTCTAACTGCACACCTTCCTATTAGATGTGTCCCCTTCCTCCAAGGTAAATCCCACCTAGGTTTAGGACTGGCAGCATTTATTGCCAATTGCGTGAGGTGAAAACATCCCCCTCCCCCGCCATAGTGTCACGAAGGGATTTCGAAGTTCTAAGTGCCTGAAAGTGTTTCTCTCTGGATTCCAGGTGATGCCTGAACCCTGAGCAACACCATGGCAAGCCCTAAGAAGCCCTGGTCCAGGGGGCAAATGATGCTGCTTCTGGGATGCTCTGCCTGCTTCTTTCTGCTTCCAGGAGGTAAGTTGCCATTCTGCTGTCTAGATGGGGCCAATCTGGGGCATAATCGAACAACAGGTGATGTGCAGCTGATTACTTTTTTTTTTTCATTTAATAGAATCATATAATTTTTCTTACAGCAAAGTACAAAAAAGTTTAACTTTTTTTAAAAGGCCACAGGCTGCTTGACAACACAGCAATATAATAAACAATATACTGCATAAGCACAGAATTATAAAATTGTAGAGTTGGAAGGGACCCCCAAGTTCCTGTAATGCAGGAATCACACGTAAATAATCCAACCTCTCATTAAAAACCTCCAAGGCAAGAGAGTCTACCACTTTCCAAGGAAGTCGTACAAAAGATTAAAAAGGGGTACAGTGGTACCTCGGGTTAAGTACTTAATTTGTTCCGGAGGTCCGTACTTCACCTGAAACTGTTCTTAACCAGAAGCACCACTTTCACTAATGGGGCCTCCTGCTGCCGCCACGCCGCCGGAGCACAATTTCTGTTCTCATCCTGAAGCAAAGTTCTTAGCCTGAAGCATTATTTCTGGGTTAGCGGAGGCTGTAACCTGAAGCGTATTAACCTGAAGCATATGTAACCCGAGGTACCACTGTACTTAAATACAATTCATCATAATACTTAACAGTATAGAATAAACAGCTATGTCAAAGTATTCACAATTGCATGTGCCACCAACCACATACAGCTGTAGTAGTGCATTTTGCCACAGCTGCAGCAACAGGTGGATTTGTGAGGCCTCCTTCCCTGAGGTTTGGTGAGAGCCATGTTGCTCTCCCAAGCCTATGTGTTGCATAGTGGTTAGAGCGTCAGACTAGGACATGGGAGATCAGGGTTCCAGTCCCCATTTGGCCATGAACCTTACTTGGTGGCCTTGGGCCGGTCACTGCCTCTCTCAGCCTAACCAACCTCACGGGGTTGTTGTGAGGATAGACCAGGGAGGAGAAGAACTACATAAGCCGCCTTGAGATTCCTTGGAGGAAAGGTGGGATTCAGATGGGATAAATCAATAAGCCTTTCTCTCCTTGCCCAGCAGGATCCTTGGCCTGCAGCAGCATCATCACAGACTCCCCAGTGGTTCTCTTGGGAGCCACAGCAAGAGCTTCTTGCACCATCTGGAGAAGCTCCTGCCTCATCCAAGACGATGAAGAAATCCAGATGATGTGGAAACTGGACGAAGAGTTCCTGACAGGGACCCAGTACAGTTTACACAAAGGGGTAGAAGTCTCCAACATCACCATCGGGCCCATCAATGAGACCGTGACCACTTTGAGCTGCTATGTAAAGAGGAAACATAAGCCACAGATGATGAAGGTCATCCAGATTCGTGCAGGATGTAAGTGCCCCCTGGTGTTGCAGAGCAAGGGACATGGGGCAGGAGGCATCTTTGATATACGTGGGCATTCATTTTAACAAAAGAATCAAGGTGGTTTACAATGATAAAAGCAGTAAAATCAAGATCGGTGCAAAACTTCCAAAAGGCAACAGCAAAAAAAAAAATCCTCGTTAACAAGGGAATCCCGGAAAAGTTCACTGGGGTAAAACCTCTGCACTAAAAGGAGAACTACTTGAAAATGATTTACAGATGGTATTTAACTCCAAGTAGGCTTGCTAAGATGTATAGGACTGAATCAGATGTGCTGGAGATGCAAAGACGTAGAGGGAACGTTCTTTCATATGCGGTGGGCTTGTAGAAGGGTAAAAGAGTGTTGGGAAATGATCCATAATGAATTGGGGAAAATGTGTAAAAGTACTCCCCCCCCAAAAAAAAAAAAAAAAACCAGAATCCTTCCTGTTGGGAATAAGTCAGACTTAAATTCTCAGGTGTCAAAAAAGGTTATTTATGTATGCCACTACTGCAGCCCGTGTTCTGTTAGCCCAAAAATGGAAAACAAGCAAGGTCCCAACCAAAGAAGAATGGCAACTTAAGTTGACAGAATGTGCTCAGCTTGCAGACTTAACATATAGAATAAGCAAACAAGAAGAACATATGTTTAGGGAAGATTAGAAATCGTTTATTGAATATATGGGAAATAACTGTGTACAGCTGAAAACGCTGGCAACATTAAGATAAATTCAACAGCGTAATTAAGTTTTGATGGATGTAATAATGGAATACTGAATGGTATAGTTTTTGTAAAATATGCAGGGATTTATGATATGTAGAATGAACCATGGAAAGAGAAGAAGGGAAGTCATTGATAGCTTAAGGATGTAAAAATGAGTACCGGTACTTTAAATTGTAAAACAGAAAATTTAATAAAAATTATAAAAGAGAAGAAATCAGGAACAGCACAACCGCCCAAAGGGCCTGCGTCTTCTCTGATGGTGGGTCTTTTGAAGTAGAACTAAGTGTTTATTGTCAGGCGGTAGGGACATTTCTTGAACTATTCTAGTCCCAGAGTACTGTATTTAAGATTTAAAAAGTCAAAACCAGCACCTTTAATTGAACCCAGAAGCCAATTGGTAACAAGCCTGGCCCTACCATGAGGTAGAGTGAGGTGGGAAACCCTGATGAGTGGGCAGTGGCAGTGAGGCATCAGACATGAAAGTGGTATGTGCCCCCACGGTCTGCTGTCCACAGGTGGGGTGGCAGGCATTGTCCCATTGCTTGTGTTGAAGGAAGACTTGGCTGCCTGTCAGGTCAGCTTCAACATGTGGATCGGGCCCCTTTGCCTCAGGCAGCAAAAGATCTTGGGCTGAGCCTGACTGGTAGCCTGTAAAGTTGGCAAAGGATCTACTGTGATGTAATCCACTCTACCATCTCTCTAGTCAAAACTCTGGCAAGCAACCATATTCTTCTTGCGGAAACCATTGCAAATGAGACTGCAGTGTGTCCCAAGCAGATAGTTCCACAGGGCTTTAGTAAATGAGCCAAGCTGTATTCTTCAGGTGAAGGGAGAAATTACCAGGGTCCCTAACTGATCTGCCCTGGATGACAATTCCTTTCTGATAGAGCCAGAATGAATATTTAAAAATGGGGAACATTTCTAATCTTTTACCAGCCAAGTTTTGCATTTTATTTTTCCCCATAGCATTCCAGTGCTTTAGATTTATTGGCATCTGTTGATTGCTATGCTTTTGGTAGGTATCAAATATGTAATTTTATAAACTGCCTCATCTCAAGTGCTGCTACTGGGAAAAGAAATGTTGTTTGTCTGAAATTCCATTGCATGTCCACTGTGAAATATCAGAGACAAATCTCAAACACAGAATTCAAATGTCAATTGGGTGGCAGATGCAGATCTCAGTTCAGCCCCACTGAATGCAGGCATGCAGTTCATCTCCTTCTCTTCTTCTGACCCCCTTTCCCGCCATTCAGATCCTCCAGCACAACCCCAAAACCTCACCTGCGTTATGAATGTCACCACGAAGAACCTCACGTGCCGGTGGGACCCTGGGCAAGACAGCTTCCTCCCAGTCAGTGTGGCCCTGAAGGGATCCCGGTAAGGAAATAGAATTTTTATTAAGAGTGTGGAGTGGGGGAAGTGGGGGAACTTTGTCTCCCACATTCTGACTACTTAGAGGGTCTGTAAAATTTGGCCGTTTTGTACCTCCTTGAACTGAGTCATCCAGCACGAGCACATTAAGGCACCTATTTGTGGAGCTCAGTGCCCCATATCACCCACCCCTGTGCATGGTGGGACCACAGAGAAGTCAAAAGGTAATTCCTCCTCTGACAGCCACTGACTGACTGCTCTCTTGGTGTTCCAGGAATCAGGGAGTGTGTGAGGTCCCCACAGAGGCCGTCCCCGCAAGCTGCACCCCACTGCCTGGGCAGAACTCCTGCACCATCGGCCGAGAGAACCTCCTGCTCTACCACCCCATGATTTTCTGGCTGTCGGTGAACAACACCCTGGGAGAAGTGGACTCTGAGCCGCTGTGTGCAGACCCCATCGATTTAGGTGTGTGGAGGGCAGAGGCAGCGGAGTCTGCCCTGACTTTGCACCTTTTTGCAGCGCTTCTGCCTGAGGTGGGGAGTTTGGAAATGAAAGATGCAAATGCTAGCTGAGGCTTGCCATAGATGAAAAGCCTGGCTGGATCAGACCTTCAAGATCAGACTTTAACTCACACACCACTGCCCTTGTCTTAGCTTTTGCCCTGCACTTCTCATTTCAGCCAAGCTGGACCCCCCAACCATCCACGCCATGCAGTCCATCCCTGAGGAGACTGACTGCATATCTGTCATGTGGGAAGCAGGGAGAGACAGCGAGCACATGCACCAGTTATGTGACTTGAGCTACCAGGCAGAGGGCGACCAGGAGTGGAAGCTAGTGAGTATTGTTATGTATTCAGTGGTCTGTGTTTGCCTGAGCTTGAGTCTGGACTAAGGATTCTGAGCCCCTGTTTTCTGATTCGATACATGATGTCCAGTCACAGAACATTTCAGGATTTGGGCCTCTGCCATTGGCCCTTGAACTCTGAGTCGTGATTCGCAGCTTGGAAGTTTGGACAGCCAATCACGTTGGGAGTGGGAGTGGCCCAGGCTTTCAGGAATGTATATAAGCAGTTGTTTTGCCCCTGTTGTCCAGTTATGTAGTTCAGTAAAGGTTCTTGCTGTTATTGCTGTGTCTTGCCTCATGGGAACCCACCTACACTTCAAGTATCTCTTCTGAACAGGGAGCCTGGAGATTGAAGCAGGCCTCCCCCTGCTGCACACACACCCAGCTCCATTGCTGAAGGGGTTTCCTAGCTCTCATTCAAGGGCAGCTTTTTGATGCACGAGAAAGCACACCCCTAACCCCCAGGACGCGCTTGGCTTTGCTGTTAACCCTTTGATGACTGTTTTATTTACTCATTTATTCCCATATTTACCAACCCGAAAGTGCAATAACAGGGTATTACTTCATACTGTATGCTAAGCAAACAAACCATAAATAATCAGAGAAAGAAATGCTGGCACATCAATATAAATCAAGGCATATTTCCCAAGCTGACGTGGATGGTGGATGCTGAGCTTCTAAGAAGCATAGGAAATAAAGTCCCACCAGGTGACACAGAAGTGTTCTGAATTCTCCAGCCCCCTGGAAACATGCAAATATATGAAGTCCATAAGTTCTTATACCAAAAAGACAAATGTAGATTTCTCAGGGTTTTCCATTGCTGGGTGCTTGGATCCTAGCTGCTGGTAGCATCCATGTCAAAAGTTCTTTGAGCAGCAAGTTTTCATGTTGTCCATCCACATATTCAGTAATGATAGTGTGAACAGATGATTTAATAATTTTAGGTATTTCCTGATACGCCTGAGACCAGAATAATGACAAGATGGAAGAATACCTGTTCTCCTTCGCTCCTGTCCTGTGTCACATCCATCATCCCTAAAACACACACACAGCACCTGGTCCCTTATCTTCACACTTCTTTCCCAGGCTGTTTCCTGGCAACCGGCAAGCCAGGGGCTCATCAGCTTTGTGTTGGCCCTGCCAGCTTCTATTGCTGCTTTTTCTTTTGCTCCAGTGGTGGCCCTGCTGTTCAAATAAACAAATGTGCTATTTTTCCTCCAGATCAGCTCACCCACAATTAGCTACGAATTGTCACCCTGCCAAGCACAGCCTGGTTGGGGGCTTGCAGTGGTCCAGTTTCCCTGTTACTGGAGCATCAAGGGTGCAAGTCACTCCTCTTTGCTGGTGCTCTCTTACCATACCTTACCAGTGATGTCTGAGGCAGCTTTTGCCAATCAGATGCCCTCCAGATGTTCCAGACTACAACTCTCATCAACACTAGCCAAGGCAGCCATTCTGGACTGCAGCCATCACCAGCCCAAGCCAATGGAGCCATTATGGACTATAATTCCCATCAGCCCAGCCAGCCTGGCAGTGCTGGCCAAGGGCACAGAGTTGGTGACGGCTGGGCTCTGAACACAGGGGTCAAGGAGAAATTCTATTCCATTCACATTGAAAGCCAAATCTATTAAATTTACACTTTCTGAAATGATATGAGAACTTTGAAATTTGCACATATCCGGATTTTGTGATGCAGTTCTCCGATCGACCATTGTTTACCAAAATGCATTTATTAGGAGAAAGTGTTAATTAGAAAGAATATATTAGTGAAAACAACAAAGAAAATGCTTTATTTTAGGGAGAAGTGCTTACAAAGTATGTACATTACTCAAAACTGCAGACAGAAAGTGGGTTTAGTAGGATAAATTTTCACTCTAACATAAGGTTACCAGATATTTTTTCAGTGAATCCAGGGACACTTTTCAACTTCAGTTGAAAGGGATGGATTTTGTCAGGGGACTGATTTGCAAATCCAGGGACTGTCCCTGGGAAATGGGGACATCTGGTAACCTTACTCTAACACTTAAGGATTTCCAAAAAGGATTTTTTCTTTAAAGGCACAGATTGCTGGAGATCTGCATTCAGATTGGGAAAATGAGAAAGGGAGAGAAGTGAACCTGGCAGATCCTTCCGTCCCTACACCCAAGGGGCCAATGGCACAGCAGCCTTGGACGATTGGCTGTTAATCTTTGTAGAATTGTAGAGGTGGAAGGGGCCCACCCAGTCCAAGCCCCTGCAATACAGGAATCGCAGCTCATTCTCATTCTCGCTTTTCGCCCCCCAGGTCCACAATATCACCAACCCCACCTGGGAAAGGCAGGAAGTGTGGCGTGTGCGGCACTGCGGCTTCCTCTTTGGGACCCTCTACCACTTCCAGATGCGCTGCCAGAGATTTGGTGGAGCCGGCTACTGGAGTGACTGGAGTCCAATGGTGAACTTCACCACCCATGAGAAAGGTGGGCGGAACGGAGGGGCAGTTTCTTCCGAAATCCTGTGGCCCTGTTGTCAAGGGGGAAGCAGGGCAGGGGGCTAGTCCAGAGCCCCTCCTAAGCTCTGAACTGAGATGCTCATCCAAATAAGAAACCAGTGGTTCCTCTGTTCCCTGTGCTGTTGAAGGGTTTTGAGTGAGCCAGGAGGAGTTGCTGGGAGGCAGCCTCAGAACCGATCTGGCCTCAAACCATGCAGGATGAGGAGGGAAAGAGTTTATCCGCCAATGCTTTCGTACAGCTGTTCTGTTCAAGAGCAGTTTCAAAAATAAAAGGACCGCCAAGATACCTCCAGCAACAACCGTTGAAAAACAACAGGCTACCTTTTTTCCTTTGGGCTGACGGAAACAAAATGGAAGTCAGGGGTGTCATGAAAGGCAGCACCCAGGAAAGAATCACTTTCCACCACCCGTGTAAAAAAACAAACGCCCAGCCACCCACACAAGGCAGTTCAGTGTACCCACAGTCAGGTAACCTGCAATTTTGTATATTGTTGTTGTTATTAATAATAATATCCTGCCATTTTTTTCAGATCAGTACTCAAGGCACAAATTAAAACAACACAGATAAAATACGGAAGGCTAAAAACATAACAAAAGATAAGAGTTTAATTACTTTTGAACAATTATCTTCCATATGTTTTTAGACTTCCGTATTTTATCTGTGTTACTTTAATTTGTGCCTTGAGTACTGATCTGACAAAAGGGCAGGATATTATTATTAATAATAACAATAATTAATAGAATTAATACAATATAAAAAACCAGCTCTGTAAAAATACAGATAATAAAACAGCACAGCAGTATTAAAAGCTATTGAAAAATAGTCAGTTCCCAAAGGCCTATTGGAATAAAAAGGTCTTCAGCTGCCAGGAGAAGGACTACAAGGAAGAAGCCAGTCTAGCATCTCTTGAGAAGGAGTTTGAGAGTCTGGGAGCAGCCACCAAGAAGCCCCTCTCCCACGTCCCCACCAAGTGTGCCTATGATGGTGTTGGGACTAAGAGAAAGGTCTCCCCCAAAGATCTCAGAACCCAGGGAAGGTTTGTATGGGAGAATATGGTCCTTCAGACAGCCTGGGCCTATAGTGAATTTTCTTCCCATGGATGGGAAAGTCCAAATTTAGCAGTGGTGGGAGTGTGGGCTGCCACTTTAATGAGGATACGGTGTGGACCCTACCACAACGAAAACAAGAGAGACACAAGCAACTTCAAATTCACATTAAACTCCAGTGTAGATGGACCCAAAGCCTCTTTTTCTCTTCCAGCGCCTTCAGGAGAGCTTGATGCCTGGTGGAAAGTGAAGACCAGGGAGGCAGAGGCAAGAACGGAAGTGCAGCTGTTGTGGAAGGTGAGGGGCGGGGGACCACATTGCAGACCTCAAGGCCAACCAACCTCCCGCAACCTGGTGCCTTCCAGGTGTTTTGGACTACTACTCACATCAGCTCCAATCTGACCATTCCAAAACATCTGGAGGGCACCAGCTTGTGCAAGGCAAGAAGCCCTCATGAGATCTGTGTCTTGCAGTCTTAGGAGGCATCGTCATAAGGTGCAAGAGGCTAATCCAGGGTCTTCTGCTCCCACCCATGTTGGATATAATGTGCACTTTTGATTCACTCATTAAGCAAGCAACCCCTTACAGTAAAGTGGGCAATCAAGAAATGTTGGGAGATTCAGGTCAGATAAATGAAAGGACTTCGTCACGCAGCTAAACATAGTTAAACTATGCAACTCGCTGCCACAGGATGCAGTGATGGCCACCAAATTGAATGGCTTTAAAAGAGGATTAGACTAATTCATGGAGGAGGGGGCTGTCGATGGCTATTAGCCATGATGACTCTGCTCTGCCTCCACAGTTGGAGGCAGCAATGCTTCTGAATACTGGAAACCACAGGAGGGGAGAGGGCTCTTGTGCTTGAATCCTGCTTGCAGGTTTCCCACTGTGGCATCTGGCTGGCCACTGTGAGAAAAAGATTCTGGACTAGATGGGCCATGGGCCTTCTTCTGTTCTTCTGTTCTTATTGTGCAGCCAATGAAACCCAATGAGGCCCATGGGAAAATCTTGGGTTACATGGCCACCCTCAGCACCCGGCGGCACAGCGGGGAGCCATCGCCGCTGTGCAACACCTCTGAGACGTGCTGCACTTTCTCACTTCCACTTGGAACCCAGAAGATTTATCTCATGGCCTACAACGCCAGAGGCTCATCTCAGCCCACTGAAGTCTACTTGTCTGAGAAGAAAGGTAGGAGCCTCCTCAACCTGGGGACAGCTCTCCTGCAAAGAGTCACTTTTACACACCTCTTGCAATACATTCACTGTCTCAAGAATATGAGCGTATTCACTGCCAGCTGCAGGATTTTTGGGTTTCCCTCTCCATAAGACTCGGGGCTTGATTTTTCTGTGTGCCACAGGTTTCTGTTTTTTTCCATCCTGGATATTCATCGCTGTTCTACTGCTTGCCATCCACACTAGTGGATGCAACTTGACTGAGGGTATCAGGGTGGGTGCGCAAGCCCCTCTCCTCTCTCTCTCTCCATTCGTTATCTTCTCTTTGGAAAACACACACAGGTATTTCTGTACCTATCCAAAGATTTTCCAAAGATAGGTACAGGATGGGAGAAATGGGCAAAAGGGGGCTGTGCTTTGGATTTTCAAAATTTTTAAAAAGCTTATACTGAGGTCTTGCATAGGTCTTCCACCACTAAGGCACAGCAATGATAAAGAGGTCAATTGCCATCTCCAAGTACACATATGTACTGTGTGGAGATCGTATAGAATCATAGAATTGTAGAGTTGGAAGGGAGCCAAAGGGTCATTTAGTCTAACCTTCTGCAACGCAGGAGTCACAGCTGACAAATAGCTGTCCAACCTCTGCTTAAAACCTCCAACAAAGGACAGTCTGCCGCCTTTCTGACCGTGAGAGCTGTTTGAAAGTGGAACAAACTAGAATCACAGAATCGTAGAATTGTAAAGTCAAATGGGATCTGATAATCATCTAGTCCAGGGGTCTGCAACCCGCGGCTCCGGAGCCGCATGTGGCTCTTTTACACCTTTGCCGCGGCTCCGGGGTGGATACTAGCGAGGGGAGGAGGTGCATTGTGCGCCCCGACACTCCCCACTGTGGTGGGCGCTGTACTGGCTGTGATGTCGCATGGGGGCGGTGCGTGCGTTAGTCATGCACCATCCCGACGTCACCTTCCCGCCCGCTGTCAGATCGCGGCTCCGGAGATATATTTGTTTTAAATGTCACAATGGTTTTGCGGCTCCCAGTTGTTTTTTCTCTTCGGAAACGGGTCCAAGTGGCTCTTTTTGTCTTAAAGGTTGCAGACCCCTGATCTAGTCCAACCCCCTGCCATTTCAGGAATCACAGCTGAAGAATCCCTGACGTCTAACCTCTGCTTAAAATCCTCCAGTGAAGGAGAGTCCACCACCTTCCGAGGGAGTCTCCTTTCGCTGGAGGCTTTTAAGCAGAGGTTGGATGGCCATCTGTCAGAGGTTCTTAAGCTGTGATTCTGACATTCCAGGAGGCTGGACTAATGACCCTTGGGGTCATTTTCATCACTCTGATTCTATGATCCCCCCCCCATCACCAGTTTGCCTTCCTATGCTCTCTTGCCTATAATTCTAACCATCTCCCGTGCATCTTCTGATACTGTCCATAGGTCAACCCGTGCCCAAGTTCCAGGCCTCCCCTCACAATGAGACAAGCATCTGGGTGCACTGGGATCTCCCAGCGACACCAGCCAGGGGCTACATCATCGAGTGGCACACCATGACCTCGGTGGAAGACTCATCCGACGGCAACCATGGTCACAACAACATGGGATGGACCAAAGTGCATAGTGGCACCATCACACATGCTCTGATCCAAGGTGAGAGGGAGAGAGAGGGCTGGAACCCTTTCATCCATTGGAAGAGCTTCTTGGGACACAAAGGAGGGATGCCCGTTAGTGGGGTAGGACAGCTGAGAGTCCCACCACACTCTTTCCTGTGAAATGGGTACATATCATCCTAGATTGTTCTTCAGGGCCAGTCACAAGCTCACCTTCTGATGTTCTGGCTCCCGTTCTCACATCCACGGACAACCTTCCCCTTCTCTCTTTCAGAAAATGTGAAACCTTTTCAACGCTACAACATCTCCATCTACCCACTCTACAGGGACAGAGTGGGGATGCCCCAGTGTTTGGAAGTTTACACCAGGCAGAAAGGTATGGCCTCCCCCTGCTTCTGCTCAGCTGCCACCATCTGGGGACGCGCAGTCTTATTTAGATGCATAAAACTATCTTCCTTCCAACAAAACTGTCTTCGTCCGGCATCTTGGGAACCATCCAGACTGATGTGGGTAGTTGCAGGGGGAAGGTTCTTTTCTGCAGCTTGTAATTGATACAATAATAGCGCATTAGTGGTGGATTTAAGTTGGACCATCCACACACCATTCTGCTTTATTAGTTGTGCTGCAGAGCTTGACCAGTGTTACCATATTATTGCCGTCTGGAGGCAGAGGGGAACTCTTGCGCTATTGTGCAACAAAAGCCAGACAAGCCCCACCCCCTGATATGCACTGATTGGAAACAAAGCAGTATGTCTGCCCTAAAGAGTATTGGAATTGCTTATAACTGCCCTGATACCATCATGAGAACACACAAATGCATCATAGGAAAGACATCTCCAGAGGGTCCCCTTAGACTTGGAGGATTCCCCCCCCCCCGATATGCACGCCCCACAACTTAATTTCCAAAATTATAAATTCCCATGCTATCATTTGAGTTAACCCTAAACCTTTTTGGATGCCACTTCCTCTGATTGAGTTAGGGGGTACCTGTGGATGTACAGTGGTGCTGGAAAGATACTCTGCACATGTTCAGGCACTATCTTTCTGAGATGTAGAGCTAAGAGCAGCTTCCAGGGATGACTCCTAGCAAGCCTTGGTCCAGATTGCCTTTCTCAGGGTGGATTCACACCATGTGATTAAAGCACACCCAATGTGCCTTTAAAGTGCCTAACTTCTCCCCCCAAAATCCTGGGAACTGGAGTCTTCCCCTCCCTCACAGAACTGGGACTCAAACTACCATTCCCATGATTCTTTGGGGAAAGCCATGTGCTTCAAAACTATGCTGTGGATCTGCCCTAATAAGACCCATCAGTCCACCTGCAGCCTCCTGGTGACCCTAGTCTGCCGGTGGCAATAGTAATAACCCCCCTTTTTTCCCTCTGCAGCTCCAGCTGACACCCCCAAACTCCACCCGGGGAGTATCAGTAAGTCCACAGCTCAGCTTCACTGGGAACCCATCCCGGTTGAAAAACGGCATGGCTTCATCACCAACTATACCATTTTCTGGAATGGCACCAATGAGGACCTGAAAAGTGAGTCACACCCATACATTCAGCCCCTCCCAGTTGTGTCACTTCAAATCCCCCCAGCAAAGGGTGAGAGGACTCTGAATTGCCCGGCCAGTGGACAAGGAGAGCTCAAGTTGGGCTGGAAGAAAGGATCTGCCTTGCTGCACAGATGGCTGGGTGTCTAACTTCACCTCTGGTCAACAGGCCTGGAGGTGTAGTGGATTTCTTCAACAGCCCCACCATTATGATGTTTAAGACAACTTTACGTGGGGCTTATCCACACTTACCTGTCCTCTGCTCTTTCTAGGCATGCTCCGCATTTTAAAGCTCCATGTCCAAAGGCCCCTGTTTTTTGTTTTTGCTCTGGAGCTACTATTGTTGGCTCCGAGTGAGTGCTAAAGAGCAGGTTTTTGTGGGAAAGCTCTGGGGGGCAGGGGATGCTCAGACACAGAGCTTTTAAACACAGGCCTGTGCCTGGAATGAGTGGGGCAAGAGATAAGTGTGGATAATTCCTTGGTCATAGCAGCAGCCTCTGGAAAACCCACAGAAGTGGAGTCCACCAGCCTGTAAATTACCCAGGCTTATACCGAGGCTTTCCCTTACCTTACCTTAGCTTTATGCATGCGTAGAAATTAAGTCACTTTGGGCTCATGCACACTTCTGTTTGTTTCTAGTCGTGTATTTGATAGGTTCTGTTTTTGTTTTGTTTTGTTGTCCTGCCACTTTCCTCAGAAAAGCCCACTTTTTACTGCTCAGTTGGAACAAACGCCGATTGGGTTTGCTGCAGATCGGCGTTCGTTCTGATTCAGCAATAAACAGCGGGTTTTCATGGGGAAAGCAGCAAGACAAAAAAAAGAAACCTCTTGGACCCCTGGCTAGAAATCTCCAGACAAATGGAAGAAATTGTGGGGAGGACAGAAGTGTGGGTGAACCAGTTCTTGGAGGAAAAGAGTGCCTGGATCGTGAGAGCTGGATGTCTGATTCAGTGAAGAACAGGGTGCCTACTTACTATTGGGCTATGTACCTCAAGAGTGAGATTTTCCCGCACAATCTTGACACTTTATACAGTCCGAGCAAGCAGATTCTCCTCACTACATCCTTTCACAATCTCTTCTATGCCTTTCTATATCCCATCACATGTAGGCTGCCTATCAAAGCATATACTTCCACTGCATAGGGTTTCGTATAGTTTCTAAAACCTACTGGGCCAGAACAACGTGAGTCGTGTTGGTAAAATTTACGGTGACAGCAGCTTTCATAGGCTAGACTAGAGGCCACATTGTCTGAAGCGTTGCCAGGTGGCCTTTTGTCAAATCTACCTACCCTCTGGCCTCAGAACCCCCTGCCTCAGCTACACATTCACCCTGGGGGGGCTAAACATGGCTGCCTTTTTCCTAGGTGCTGTCGTGAACTCTTCAGTCGACACCTTCACCATCGTGGGTCTCTGGCCTTCCAGAATGTACAGGGTGCACATCATGGCCTCAACAGTGGGTGGGAGCACCAACGGTACCATCCTCACATTCTACACCAAGGCGATTGGTAAGGAGAACCATAGGACAGAGGGTGGGGCTGGGTACATGGGGGCAGTGGGCTGTCCCCATGCTCTGCCTCCACACTTGGGGGTTGCAATGCTTCTGAATACCAGTTGCTGGAAACCCCAGGAGGGGAGAGTGCCACATGTGAACTGGCTGCATTATAACGATCTGACAGGCAAGCAGCCTGATAAGCAGCAAGGACTCTTCGTCAGTTTTATGTAAGTTTATTTACAAGAAAAACACATCCAGAACACAGCTTCCCACCTGCTCTCATTAACAGTAGTTGATCAGTCTAAATCATTGTCCCTTCCCCAACAGAAAGAATGCCAAAATCCCACCTATTTTCTCCTTCCCTTCCATTGTTCTCTGAGCTTCTCCAGTCTCCTAGTACGGGGACTGAATGGCTGACCTGTCTCCTCCCCACTCCCAGAAGACACAGCCTCAGACTCTGGTTTATCTGCTGGTTGCCTGGCAATGCTCTGGCCACCTTCTAACTCTTCCTCTCCTTGGGAGCTAACAGCATCTTCCCAGGGAAGGAGTGGGGCCGGACTGCCCTTTCTAGACTCTGACAGCCAGCTCTTATCTGCAGAGTCGGCCCCCTGCTCACTTAGCTCAATTTCTGAGGCTGACTCTTCTGCTGCACTCAGGGGGAGCACATTCCTGACATGCATTGTCGCTCACATTGCAAGGCTGAACAAGTCCAAGTGCACCCCATCCTCCTCTCTCTCCTCCAGCCCCAAATGCGGAAGGTCCTCTTAACATGCCACCACTATCACCTGGGCTTACTCCTCTGTAATCTCTCTCTTCCAGATGACATGGACCTCCCCTTTGTCTACATGCTGATTGGACTCCTCTTGCTGGCAATTATTGTCCTGGTCATCTGTTTCCAGAAGAGCAAGAGGTGAGTGTTGGGAGGAGCTGCAGAACTCATCCTGCTTGTCATCTCTAAGAGCAGATGAGGAAACACAGTTGTTACCCAGAGGGCCTCAGGTAGGAAGTGAGATATTTGCAGGAGGAGGAAAGGAAGAGGCCAGGGAGGAAAGGAAGAGGCATGTAAGTAGGGAAGAAGGAGAGAATGAGCATGAAAGCAAAGGACAAGAAGAAAGAATGAGTTGGGACTTGGAGTAGGGAGGGAACAGTCAATTTCAGTTATTTAGGTTTCTCATTTTCCCAATCTTAAGTTCAGTTCTCCACATTTTGCAGCAATTTGTAATTTTAAAAAATCCTCATTAAAATTCATCAGCATTTTAATATGAATTTCTCCTAACAAACATATTTTATATGTTTTATTTGTTTTATATGTTACATATTTTATATACTGTACTCTTTTGACTGACGTACACATTTGTGCAAGAATATAATGCACTTGTGTTATGTTGATTTCACTAATATATTCATTTTTGTGCGAGCTTTTTATGCACTTTTGTGAACATTGAGTGGATAACTACATCACAAAATTCAGATAAGTGTGGCTTTCAAAGGATGGTGATTTCCTGATTTCCTATGCAATTGATGTTGCTCTCCTATTTGGACTTCAAAGCATAGCGAGTATCAGGATTTGGGGAGGGAAAAGTGTGGGTCAACAGTAGTTGGAGAGGGTGGGACAATGGGGAATTAAAGGAGGAGCAATAAGCTGGGCCCTTAGTGGTTGAATGGGAATCAGGCTGACACAGCGAAAGCAATAACATCCTGCCTTTTGTGGGATGTCCAGCCAGCCTAAACACTTTCCTCCTGGGATGTTGAGTCTCACCAGATCTCTCTCTCTCTCTCGTGTGACCCACAGGATGAAAACCCAGTTCTGGCCCAGCGTCCCTGACCCAGCCAACAGCAGCCTTGGCAAATGGGCACCAGCCATTCTGCAAGAGGTAAATGTAGTGTGGGGGTGGAGTCTCTTGGGCTTGGCCTGCTGCCCCTCCTATTCCTTCCCTACCTGCGCAGGCCTTTTGGAATACTGACCCACATTTTACACACATCTCAGCTGCAGTGTGAGTCATGGGCAGGTGGCACAGCTGGGAACATGGGCCACCCCTCTGTCCTGACCCACCCTGAGTTCTGCACATCACAAGCCCCACATCGCGTAGTAGCCGCAGCTAGGTATCAGCACATACTGACCCCAAAGGTCAGCAGCCACAGGCCAGGGATGTTTAAGGACATGGGCCTCAGCTGTGCTTTGTTGGCTCAGGTCAGCCTTTGCCACCCTCCTGTCTTCAAGCTGAATTCGACCACAACGTCCATCAGCTGCAGCCATCACTGGCACCAGCATCATATGGCTATGATGATGGGAGTGGAGGTCCAAAGGGTCCAGAGGGCAACAGGTTGGAGACAACTGGTCCAGATGAATACATGGATGAATCCAAGATTATTGGAGTTTTCTAGCTATGAGGACCAACACTCCAAAGCCTTCATGTTCAGAGACCATCTGATGCTGAGGCCTCACCGGGGATGGTTATTCCACCTCAAGGGATGATGGGCCTTTCCTTTCACCCAACAGGGGGGTGACCTGTACTGTGGCCATTAGCTGTTAACTTGACCTACTGCCTTCTTTCCCAGGAGATCCTCCAGGCTCCAAAGTCGTGCGAGCTCAGCCCTGTTGTTGTTTCGGCCATCTTGGTGATTGAAGCGGATGAGAAGAAATGCCTTTCCTGTGGGAAGGGGGAGCCTGCTAAGACCCTGGAGGATGGGTCAATGACAGCCTCCTTGGAATCTTATATGGCTAATGCTGAGACCACTTTGCCAACCGGTGACCCAGCGCCAGCCTCTTACGTGAACAGCCCGGAGTCTGTCCAGTACGCAAAGGTGTTTGTGGACAGCTACTGCAGCCAACAGAAGGCCTCACCCAGTTTCTACATGCGCTCCAACTCCACGCAGCCCCTCCTAAGCGACAGGACGCCCAGCCCAAAGCCCTACGAGAACCTGTGGTTTCACAGCGACCATCCAAACAGAGAGCTTGACTACAGTTGTCAGGAGGATGCCGTTTTCCTGGACAGGGCCCTGTTAGATTTCCCGTTGCTCCAGGGCCTCAAAATCGATGGGGATGAAGACCTGAGCAACTTCCGAAAACTGTAGGACCTGATTGACAGGGGGAGCATCAAACTGGAGCTGCTTGTGGCTTCTTGCATTCTTCTTCTCCTCCTTCACTGGAGGAAGCACTGAATTATTCCAGCCAAACATCCAGCCACCTAGATTTTGTGTCACCCTAGAGAGACTAAGAAAGCGGAGCGGATGTTGGGGTGGTGTTCCCTGAGTGATGCCTTTTGCTCCCCTTTAGGGGAAGGGGTGTATCTCAGTGGAAGAACATCTGCTTTGCATGCAGAAGGTCAGTATAAGGCAGCTTCCTCCATTTCGAACCAAGAAGAGACAGAACTGAAAGGAGCCCTGCCTTGGGTTCCTTCCCCTTTCCATAACTGTGGCCCCCTATTCAACCCCGGCTGATGACCTTGTGCTGTCCCCTGCTGCTGTGACCCTGGACCTGCATGGACGACCCACCTCCCACCTCAAGTCTACCAAGCACCTGCAAATGGAGACTTCCCTCTCTTTCCCATGTAGCACAGTCTCCACCGCTCAGAAAAACAGGGGCAGCCCATACCTAAAGGCAAACTCCATGTGCTGGCCCCATTTCTGGGGACATCTGCCTCTGCTGTGCAAAGGTGTTGAGGAAAGAAGGAGCAGCCGTGGAGAAGCTGCAGAAAGCACAGTGCCAACTGGATGAGAGCCACAATCCAGAACCTCCCAAGGTGGGGAGGAGGAAAAGGAAGAGGCATGAGAAGAAGAGCAGCCCAAGAAACTCACAATCATTGTGAAGTTGCTCCTTTCTCATTGCATCAGTCAGCTTTGTTTGCCAAAAGCCATCGCAGTCGTCACAAAAATGCAAAAGATCAGGCCAGGGTACATGCTAGCATAAAGTCGTGTTGTGCAAAGGAAATACTGTGTTGCTCCTTCTGTAGCAGGAAACAAGGGTGCCCACAAAATGTCAATTTTTGCCTGAAAGGGTTTGGAGGGGAAACCAAGGAGCAGCTTGGAGAATTGAGAAGGGGAAACGGGTTTTTCCCTGTTTAGCACAGCCTGAGCAGGAAGTCAAAGGGGTTGAATGTTCCCAGAAGTAGGGTTGGGAACGCCAGCTTTCTTCAACATGTTTATACCCACTGCTGCTGTTTATTTATCATGTATATGGAACATTGCAAATTAAAAGTGCTCCACAATTCTCCTTGTGTTTGTCATCGTTGTAATTCTTGCACTCTCCCCCTCCCGCAACACCCCTCATGCAGAGATTGCAGACAAGAATTGGCTGCAGTCCCTACTTCATCTTTGTTGGGTGGAAAGTCGGCACATGATCCCTAAAGAACTTCCTAGGAACTTTGGAAGATGCAGGTCTCATAGTTCTGTTGCAATCTGTGATGGAAGAGCAGGGGGAGCATCATCTATTATTTTCTAGCTTTTCCCTTCATATTCTGCCAGTGCAACTGCAAACCAACCCAAGCAGTTGCTCAGGGGCAGTTGCATTTTTCAGGGCCCCAATGGAGAAGAGTGGAATCAAAGCATGCTCCACTTCAGGGCACTTTGCAAGGTCACAGAAGGTGCTGGTGGGAGACCATGAACCCTCTTGCTCAGATCACATGCAAACCTTTAAGGCAGTTGCCGTCCTCCAGAAGGGATGGGGGAGAAATTTGGTTTGCGTTTAAAGGTGACACTGCCATATTTGTACTTCCTGAAACAACATGCAATTTGAAATACAGCTATCCTTCCGAATTCACACTTATCCAAATTTTTAAATGCAGTTCTCCAACCAAGCAAGGATTACAAAAGTGCACATATTAGGGGGAAATTGAGCATAAAAATCAATATATTAGTATTCAAAAAATTACTTTAAGAAGTGGTTGAAAACACAACAGCACAAAACAAATACAAAAAATGTAATCCAGGAAAGCTTGGCCAGACACATACATTTTAAAAGCCATTTAAAAGTCATTGGAGCTTTAATTAACATTAGAATTGAACTAGCTCACTATAAATAGAGCTTGCATACAGGGAAGGGCATTACTGCACCAAGACTTTACAACACCTCTGTTTTAATTCCCCTTTCACTACCTGTAAATAAGTGTATTGCCAGTGCTAAAGGATTTTAGCGTGGAAACAACCCCAGAGTTCCTTTAAAGGTAAGTCAAGGGTCCCTCACCAACCAGTCACTGAACAGGTCACAAAAATATTATTTCCCACAATTAAAGGGAGACCCTTAGCTTTGCTGGTGCAGCACCTCTTAGGGGCACCTAAGATTCCTGGTTCAGCCTACACCATCTCCGAATAAAATCATTTTGGATTTGAAAGGCAATGCATATGTCACATCTGCTACAAATTAATGGTTGATGGACACAATCCCAGTCAAGTACACCAATCTGCAAATGTTTTTGGTGTAGCTGTCTCAGGCTGATGGGAGTTGTAGTCCAAAACATGCGACAGGCACCAATTTGGGGGAGGTTGATGTCTGTAGAGAATCCTGAGCTGACTGGCAGCTCCCAGCTACTAGGGAGGACCCACAGCTTGGTGGTGGTGGAGCATACTGAAGCTCTATGATGGAAGCTATGGGAACCTTACTCTTTGCTTTCAGCCTACTCAGATTAAAGAGCTTTCCATCCGTTCAGTATATGATTTCTACTCGGGTGGGGAGTTTCCCTTCGACAAAGTGTAGGATCATGGCAATGAAAATAATAAATTGAGTTGGGGCAATAACACAACCCTGCTTAACACTTGATCCCACTGTGAATGGTTCACTTTGAGAGCCATTGTTATCTGCAATTGTTGTTGTCATATTATCATGGAGGAGCCGAGGGATGTTCACCAGAAACCTATGACCTCACTGTGGAAGGACGTGTGGATCCAGAATTGGCCTCCATTGTCACTTACAGACTCACTGTTAAGACCGTGTTCATGGAAGACAATCTTACTCGGCTATGAGTGGGAGAAGGAGGCGGTGGTGGAGCCCTTTTTGCATCATGCAGAAAGTCCCAGCGCCAGGTCCAGTCCCAGCAGGCATCTCCAGATCAAGGAGAGCTGCTGCCAGCCAGAGCAGGCAACGCTGGCCTAGGTGGCCCAAGTGAGCAAGCTCTGCCAAGCACTAAAGTCCACCTCGCAGGCGGCCCGCGCTCGGCATCAGAACGAAAGCAGGCTGGGAGCGGGCGCTGCCATTCATCACCTGAGGGGCGGGCCTCGCCCTCTTCTTTTACCTTCCATTGGCTCCGGCGCGCAGGGTATCAATCGATGCTTTCGGTGCTCCCGCGGGGACCTGGCCTGTGACGCACCAAGATGGCGGCGCCCAGAAACTAAGCCGGGAGAGAATGTCGCTGGTGTTGCTCAGAGGAGTCTCGGCGGCGGGGGCTGCCGCGCTGCGCGGATGGAGCTGCCTCGGGTCGAACGTGGCGGCGGCGGCTCGGGGATCACTGCGTAAGGAGCTCGAGGTTGAGTAATTCGGAGCGCGCGCACCTGGTCCTGTTTACACGGCCTCTGCTTCGGATTAGATACGGGCCTCCCCCTACCTGGCACCTTGGGGTGCAGCTCCCATTCAGTCCCAGACAGCACAGCCGGGCGGAGCTCAAGGGAACGCGGCCACGCTGTTTGGGGGGGTTGATGGGGATTTCAGTGCAGAACACCGGGAAGGCACCAGTCTCTGCAAGTGACAGAAAGGCCCCTTTCCACAGGGTGCCTTCCAAACTGCTTGCAAAAGTCACATGCATCTCATCAAAATAGAATTAAAAGGAGACCCGGGTGGCCTCAATTGTCCAAGAGCATGGATATGATTGGCCGTCAATCTGCTTTAAGGCACCCGGGGGAAGTGGCTAAAACGCACTGAAGACCCATAGACGAACACATCTATGCATGTTCTTTGTTGGTGTAATAGGAGCAGAAGGCAGGACATGGGGAGGGGGTTGACCTGGTAATTACCTTGCAGTGTGGCAGACACCTTCCACCATCCCACTTATTTATTTATTTTATTATTACATTTATATTCCACCTTTTCCCAAGGAGCTAAAGGTGCTGTACACACCTTTTGCCCCTCTCCTCATAAGAACCCTGTGAAGTAGACATAATGCCTGGCCCAAGGTCACCTAGTGGGCTTCATGACTGAGTGGGCATTTTGAACACTGGTCTCCCAGGTCCTAGTCTGACACTAACCACTGTGCCACACTGGCATCTGGTGGATGGAGATGGAGCTTCCCAGCAGTGATGGCTGCTTTGGTGTCTCTGTAGCTCTGTCGCGGGTTCTTGCATCACTTGTCATCTTCCGTGTGCCAAGGCCTCTCACTCCATCTCTCTCCCCACCTATTAAATGCAACATCAAGCTCACAACCAAGGAGGCAGTAGAGTGGGCTGTTTCCTCCGTTCCTGGTCTTAATGCACTAAATGATCTTGATTACGGCCTTGGATTGTGAAAAGAATATGGTGACTAAAAAGTTGCTGTTGTATGTCAAAAGAACTTGTTTACATGCCCCTTGCATTGGAAGCAATTTCCTCTTTCCCTGTAGTGGAACCTCTACTTGAACTGGAAACTGCATGACACTACTGAACTTAGAATAGAAAAGAATATGCAAAGGATTTTGCTGTTAGAGATCTTTCCTCGCCCAATGCCCAAAATGTGACTTTTGATCACATCTAGCAACCTGAGCAATTGCAGCAGCCTTGTTGGGGGTGGAAGGCAGAGCAACTTACTCTTTCTCTGCTCATTCATTGCCCGCATTTATTGGCTGTGGGGCAGAAAACAGAATGCTTTCTTCAAATATGAAATGTTCCATCTACTTATGAGCCTAAAAATTGCTTCTCCACAGATTGTTCTCAGACTGGAAGAGCTGTTTTATCTCCCCAAAAACCAAGAGGGAGAAGTGATGTGCCTAATTACTTCCAAGGAGCAAAATGCTAATGTGCTGTTGTGTTATTGTATTGCATTGATGTGGCTCAAGTGTAACCCCTGCTGCTTTTCTGTCCTTTTAGATAAGAGCCCCCTCCTTCAAACAGCCAGGGATTATGCCAGGCCTGTCCGTAGAAAAAAGCAAGGTTTGTATTACATTCTCATTGTTGTAAGCAGTTGGTCTGCTAAGGCTGTCACCTGAACTGTTTGGGATTCCAGTTTTGAGGGAGTTTCATGACTGTACTGGATATTATGGGTCTGAGTCTCTGTCTCTTACCCCATTTCCTAATCCATTGAAATGGAAAATAAAATTGCTTAGATGGTTTTTTTTACAATTAAGCAGCACACAAGTTCTGCTAAAAAGGTAAACACCACTTGCTACATGTTCTGTTGGCCCAGGTGAACCAACTTCCTGCTGGCTTGTGGGTCACCATGTTTTGCAACTGGAGTCCCTTCCACAATGTACTTCCTTCTCTTTACCTACTGAGAGATGCCAAGAGCTTCTCTTTTAGACATCAGCTCATGTGTTCCCACCAATACTTGGCTGACTACTGTTAGGAAAAAAGTATTCTGTACTAGAGTGAACTAGCAAGGCAGCTGCTGTGCTCTTATTGCTGTGTTGCTGTTGTTGCAGAAATCCCCAGCCATTTGGATGATCTGCCTCCCACAATGCTGAAGAAACCTTATGCCAACATCCCAGTTATAGACAAGTAAGGTTTGCGAGGACCAGGGAAGGACTGTGAGTTTCATGAAAAGGGGCTTCATGGAGGAAACAGCAAGTCTGCCACATTGGGCTGCCCTTTAGGGGCCCCCAAAATGCAACCACTTAAGCCTCATTTTATTGACTGGGGTCCTCAGGTGATGGGGGAGGTCCTAAATTAGTGCTCCTATAACTTACATTTAATTCTGAATATCTAACGTGGCTCCCTTGATTTCTAATCTCTCAAAGCTGTTCCCCAAATGTTAAGCAATTCGGGGACAAGTAATCAAAGGACTCTCTGCTTTCCTGCAGGGTAGACGATGTTGTGAGAAGGTTGCTGTCTCTGGAAATGGCAAGCCAGGTCAGTGTTCTCCTACATGGGTAAATTGGGATTGGGGGCTAATCTTCCTTCATTCCCCTGCTCTTCCATGCTTTATCATTAAAAAAGCCATAAAAGCAGAATTTCTGCCTTTTCTGTAGGCAGGCAGGTTTGCTGTTGGCATTGTAAGCAAACGATGACCTGCCATTCCTGCATAGTGGAGTGGGGTTGAGTGGCTATTAGTTATCTAGTTGTATTAGTATCTAGTTGTATTAATTTTGTCTTCCCCTTCTGCATGCAGAAGGAGAAAGTGAAAATCAAGAAACAGCAGCTAGCAGACCAAGTACGGAAGTCCCCAACTGACACTAGCTCCTTAGAGGTCCAAGGTAAGCAGAAAAATATGTCCCAAGAGAAAAACTGCTGCCTCCTGTTTCCTTCGCTGTCATCCTGTCTGTGCCCCAAGGGAGTAGCCCCAGGGGGCACTTCAAGGGATACATAGCAGAAAATGGAGCTATGAAAGGGTACATCTGGAAACAGAGATCCAACTGGATCCTACTTGGCAAAGGCCAGTGTTGGGCAGAGTTGCGGCAGGATGATCTCTTAATGTTGAGAGACATTTCCTTTTATATAGAGAACATGACAGATCTGCTTATGTGCTTTCCCTTCCTGTATAAAAGAGCTGGAGCCAAATGGAGCTGGTCTCTCAGCAGAGCAGGTGGGGTGGTCCTGCTTCTCTTTTTGCCCTATACCAAGGTGGAGAACCTACAGACACTGAACTGTTCTTGGATCCCTGACCATTGGCCATACTGGCTGGGACTGATGAGAGTTGCAGTCCAACAACACCTGGAAGGCTAACAGTGTTCTCAACTTCTGCCATATATCTACAGCCAAAGTCCACGCAAGGATTTTGAAGTAGCCAGAGGGAAGATCCTTAGATCTTCCAGCTATATAACATCAAACTGTCATTAGTCAAGTGCAAGCTCTAGAATAATGGAGGCACGTCCAGCAGCCAGCTCTTAAGTGGTCAGTTCCCTGTGTTTGCTTGCTGGTTGGCAATGTCTATGCGCAGTTTTTAAAGCAGGAATTCAGAAACATTCAACATTGGAATAGGCACTTTGTCTCTGGCCTCTCTGCAGTGACTTTCTTTTGCTGTTGCAGTTGCATTCTTGACAGCCAAGATCCGCACGCTCCAGGAACATCTGCATATGCACACCAAGGTAACCGTCTTTGATGCAAGTACAATATATGCTGTATTCAGAGCCAGCTGATAATTTGTATTTCAGAGTGGAGCTACTGTTGAGTGCCAACTGCTACAGCCATTGTTCAGATACAAAGCAATGTCAGTATTTCTTTCAAAGTTGGATCTTGCACAGCACTGATTACATAAGATGTCAGAACCAAAATATAAATGCATTTTACAAAATAAAACAGTTAATATCCATAGCAGTAAATACAGAACAGTGCGGTAAAACTTTATAGTCCAGGGAAAGCCTGCATAAAAGGTGCTCCTTTTCCCGCCTCCTAAATTGGAGAGGGTGTTCCAGAACTTGGGTGCCATCACCAAGTTGGCCCACTTCATAGGTGCCTTAGATGCATAGATTCATTTGACTGAACTCGGTAGACCTAGACCTAGCAAGGCCTCCTTAAGATCTTATGATTAGCTGAAGATATACAAATGTATAAAAAGAAGATAGTCTGCAAGGTATCCTGGTCCCAAGTAATTTAGGGCTTTATATGCCAGCAGGAGAGCAAGAGAGGCTGCTCCATTTGGGCTGTTGTGGCCATTTGGACTGTTCTATATAACACCAGCTGGATCCTCACAATTTCTTATATGCTGATACTTCGTGAGATCAGCCACCTTGGAAAGATGTCCTGAGATCTGGGATATAAACAATTAATAGTAGTAGTGGTAACTAGCAACAAGTAACCCTTGTCCCCAGGACACAGTCAACCGTCGCCAAATGCTGATAGCCATAGACCGGCGGAAGATGCTGCTGAAGTACCTGCGCAACACCAAGTACGATGTCTTTGAGAAGACGTGTAAGGTGCTGGACATCAAGTACGAGTTTCCCCCATTGTACTGCCGGAGAGCCACCCGGCGCTGGATCGCCAAGAAAGCCTTGTGCAACAAGGTACGGCCACCATGGCATGTTGCTGCCCAGGCATTTGGAAGCAGAGCTCCTCTTCTGTAATGGATGAGCTTCGGGGGGGGGCTGGTGCTGCTTTGTGCTCCCATCAACTGGGAGACATCCGGAGGGCACTGGGTTTGGGAAGGCTTTCTTAAAGCAATATTACTCTGTTAAATTGCCAGGCAGGCCAGTGAAACCTCCACCCTCCTCAGTGGAGCTTACCTTTGTTTTGTATTTTGCATGGCCAGTAGTGCTGGGGGCACATATTGGGTAGGACTGAGGGTGTTAGCAGCCACCCTGAGCAGCACCAAATAGCAGGAGTGCAGTGTTAGAATTCTGTAAGATATATGAGATTCTGCCTTGTGCCAAGCCAGACGCTTGGGCCATCTAGCTAAGTATTGTCTCCAGTCACTGACTGGCAGCAGCTCTCCAGGGTTTGAGCAGGAGACTTTGCCAGCCCTATCTGGAGGTTCCACAGATTGAACCAATGTGTAAAGCAAGGGCTCTGTCACTGAGCCATGGCTCTTCCCATGAAGTAATAAATATAAACATAGTAAATGCCCATTGTCAGCTGGTATGGGGATTAGACCACTCCCAATAGAACTCTGGGATTTTGTAGTCTTGGTCTGTGCTACTGACTGCCTAACTGCCTCTCACCTCCCTTCTTCCCATTAACCCTCTAGGTCTATCAAGAGGTACAGAAGCTGAAAGCCCCGCAGAGACTGAAGCAACGGCAAGAGTGGCTAGAGAGAACCAGGGCCAGAGAAGCAGAGAAGCAGGCATCACCAACTGAAGGCAGCCCAGTCTAAGCCAAACCTACCCTATGTTTGGGAGGGGGCTCATATTGAGCAACATCTTCTGAAGCTGGTAGACAATAAATGATTTAATCGCCACTGTTTCCTCTGTCTTGGGTGCATATGAAAGTGTTTGTGTGTACAGAGTCCTGTTGCTCCTATTCATATGGTTCAGAGGCCATCATCACTGGGTTAATTTAATCACTTCCAGGTTAATCATGCTAGTCTCTTGTAGCAAAAACAAAGTCTGCAGCACTTCTGGAGAGAAAGGAATGCCATATTTAGGGCTGCAACAACTGTAACTGATCCCAACCAGAACAGACGGTGCTCTGGATGCCTCCATTGGATTCTACTAGTGTCTAGTTAGAACAAATGTGAGCAACTTTATCCTGGAAATGCCCTGCAAGCCTGTCACAGCAGGCCTATGAGGAGTCCAGCCACTTTTCCCTTCAGGGTAGGTTTAGTTAGCCTATTTCACCACTCAGAATGACTCCAAATGGCTACTTGGGGACAGCTTTTACCAAAGGTGTCGTGGTAAATGCCTCCCTGGAAACCAATGTCCCCACTGTGGAAGGACATGCGGATCCAGAATTGGCTTCCACAGTCACTTACGGACTCACTGTTAAAACCATCTTTATGGAAGACAATCTTTCTTGGCTGCAAGCGATCGCCAAAGAAGAAGAGGGTGCTGGAGTGATTCCTTTGGTAGCACAATCATACACTTTTACTCCTGTCATGGCTGTTGCTGTGAGACACACTACTTGTGCTCAAGCTGCTGTTCTGCCTGTTCAATTTCCTGGAGCTCCCCTGCAAACAAGGTGCAGTCTGGGCTCCCTGCAGTGCCATAGAAGGCCATGAGCAGCGATTGTGTCAACAACACTTTCCATCTCACCATTCCACAGCCTTCCAACCAGAGCACTGAGGAACCTGAGCAAATTCTGTAGGTCTCCAGGGGCTACCAACCCTACAGTTGACTAGCCGCCACCACCCTAAAGTGCCAATCATAATCCACACTATCAATATCACTCCCAGTCTTGTAGCAAAGACCAGTTCAAGGGTCTGGCCTACCATCTAGCAGTGATGTACTTGGATGAAGGAATTGAGGGGATGTTCATCAAATTTGCAGATGACATCAAACCAGGAGGGGTAGCCAATGCAGCAGAAGATACAATCAGGATTAAATATGACTTTAGCAGATTGGAGAACTGGGCCAAACTAACAAAATGAATTTTAATAGGGACAAATGTCAGGTTCTACACTTAAGCAGGAAGAACCAGCTACACGAATATAAGACTGGGGAGACCTGCAGTGGAACGGACTCCTTCATTGGTAGTCTTTAAGCAGAGGTTAGGTGGCCATCTGTCACTGATGTTTTAGTTGCAATTCCTGCATTCCAGGGGTTTGGACTAGATGACCCTCAGAGTCTCTTCCAACTCTACAATTCTAAGATCATTTGATTCTATGAACAAATAGGGTCAGCTGAGAAACCAGCAACTTTGGGTGCCTCCTTGCCTTGAACTATTTCCATGTCTGCTGGCCTTTGTAACTAAGAAGTGCCTGAGTTTGTGTTTTTCCTCCTTCCTCCAATTTCTTTTCCATTTTGTGTCATGTCCCAGATTGCCCTCAGCTGACAATCTTATTACTGATTTCTGTAAGCCAATCTTGCAGCCTTTTTACCTGAAGAGGGGGGTGAAGACACCATGACAGAGTGAACAACCTCCTGAACAAAGTCTCGCCACTAAAAAGAGGGGGGGGTACATTTTCACTCTAAATTCTCCAGGCCTTGCAGTCCTCTGCTTCCTGCTTACCATTTCCCCATTGCTCAAATACACATGTGGCCTGACCACAAGGAACTGAAGACTTGAGTTTGCCTTGCAAAACATTTGTCACTGCCATTCAGATTTGCCTTTTTGAGGTTGTTTCTGAGCCGCCAGTGGCCTTAGCTCTAGCTATGTCCGAGCCTGTGACCTGCCAGCCAGTTGCCACAGTCTCACCTTTGACCCTGTCCTCAGAAGGCAGCTGGAGCAGTGGGAGGTATGACTGCTGTTCAGACTGCCCCATGTGTAAGTAAATGTCTGGCTGTATTTTAGCCTGCGGAGATCGATTTTATATAAGATGGAGGAAAGCTGCTGTGGGTTATTGTAGACTGACTCCCCTCCTAACACATTTCCCAGATATTTGTCCAATGATTCCCATATTGCTTCCAGGTTATATGGGTTTAAAACTTGCCACCTGTTGCAATGTAGACCTGCAGCCATTGTACCTCAAGGCTCTTTGTGAAGAGAAGCTAAGTTGTGGGGTTCTTTAGATTCGGAATGCATGGAAATCCATGCCCAACACCTTGAGTTCCTTGGAGAAAAAGGTGGAATAGAAATGCAATGAATAAATAAACATTTGAGGGGATTCATTAAGCAATTGCAAAATATAGAAAACATTTTGCTTGCAAATGTTGAGATGCCCAGTTGCTTAAGCTGTGCCCAAGGGAACTTTTACCATTTTCTTTGAGCAGCAGAATCCCTACTATACATGACAACTGCCTTTGGAAGCACTTGCCTTATGGCATGGAGGGAAGGGGTTCTCAAGAAGTGCAAGACCAGTGCCCCCTTAGTGCTCAGAACTAGTTCCATGGGTCTTTGGATCCAGGGCAACCTCCGTGTAGGTCCTAGAGTGACCCTTTATTTATGTGGCTGTTTTGATTTGCAGGAGTGTGGGATGTTCGCTTCCTGTATCCAAATCTAACAGCATAAAAATGTGTGATATTCTTTTAAAATCAAGAGAGGTTCAGCTTGCTGTTTTCTTCCTTCACTTGGCTTTCACAGACAGTTATTCTGTCCTTAATTTTAAAGACTATTAAAGTTTATGTTTGTGAACTGGTCTGAGTGTTTGTGTGCACACCTGCTGTCTCAGTCCCTTAACCATGAAGGGGGACGATCTGTGCAAAAAGTACAGTTAGCAGGAATTATATTTTAAGAAGGGCAGGGTTAGGGTTACTGGTTCCCTTTCATTGATATTTGCCTCCTCACCTGTGTGTTTCATTTGGGCAGGTTGTGTTGGGCTTCTCTGCCCGGCAATCCTGGCCTGTTACGTGTCACGCAAATACGGGGAGAACTGTTGCCTGGGACTGGTGCCTGGCGGCTTGACAGCACTGCGGACTCACATGCGGCTCTCCTATGGCATTCCGGTAACAATTTCCTCCATCACATTTTGTGGTGTTGTACAGTCTGTTCCCCCAGTAGATGTGCTCTTACTCATTGATCAGCAGGGGTCTGGAGAGTGAAAGAAACAGATGAAATGTGCATCATCCAAGACATGATTTATTTCTACACAACTTGTTTGTAGTCCTCTACAGCAGGGGATTGGTGAGTTCCTGAGATAAATGCAGCCCTCTATGCGACAGAGTGATGCTTGGGGCAATTAGTAATAATAATAATAATAATAATAATAATAATAATAATAATAATAATTTATTATTTGTACCCCGCCCATCTGGCTGGGTTTCCCCAGCCACTCTGGGCGGCTTCCAACAAAGATAAAAAATACACTAAAATGTCACATATTAAAAACTTCCCTGAACAGGGCTGCCTTCAGATGTCTTCTGAATTAGTTGCTTGCTGGCCTTTGCTGTCACCTTCCCTCTCTTCCCTTGGATGCAAAGGCATTGCCAGGTTCTTAAAAGACTCAGGGCACAAATTTGGGCAAATTGAGATGGTAGGTGGGTGGGTTTAAACCATGCTGCACTTAGTAGTGTGCCCAACTACCCTTTAAGCCAAAGGTGGGGCCGCTGCGGCCAGGGCCGTCTTACCCATTAGCATTAGTGGCGCCCTGCGACACAGCACCCGCCCATCAGGGGCACCCAGCAGCGGGAGTCCGGGACCGACTGGGAACTACTGCGAGGGCATGCTGGGTGGCGGCAGCTCTTCCTACAGCCAGCTGCGCTCTCTCGCTTCCTGCCTGGGAGAGGGGGCAGCGGCGGTGGTGCACAAAGCTACGCAGCACCCTTCTCCCTCCTGCCCGCCCCATGGCAGTAGCAGGACTGCTGAGGAAGCCTGCGTGGCAAGTGAGCCTCGAGCTGCCCAGCGCAGGGGGCGGGGAGGGCGGGGAGGGGGAGGGACGCCGAGAATGTCTGCCCCCCCCACCCCTTCCATCGAGGAAAAAGGTGGAGGACAGATTCATTCAGATTTGGGCAGTGGGAGGGGAAAACTGGGGGGGGCGCACTACCATTAGGACTCAGTTCGGAGGTAAGGATGGACCTGAGAGCGTGCTCTCCATGCAGTTAGTGGTTAAAAACAAACAAACACCAACAAAAAGTCCTTTAAAGACGAGGACGGGTTTTAAGGTCCTATTAGATTCAGCAGGGCTTACTCTCAGGTAAGTGCAGTTAGGGCTGCAGCCTTTGTGACCCAAGTTTAGGGTCCTTTTTAGGTTCAGGATGTCACTGCTTTACACCCACACCCACCACACACCACAATATTTGAAAACGTCAGCTTTGTACCTAAAACAAATTGGCCAGGAACGTCATTCTCTCAATTTATTTAAAGAACAACGAACTGGTGATTGCTTTAACTTTTTGATATGTGGTGATTTGAATCATGAGGATGAATTAGAAGAACTGCTGAGTCTTGAATGAGTCTTGCTTTGGAATTGAGGACTTCATTAGATTTTCTTCTGCCTTTTCATTTTGTTTTGTTTTAAGGGCTTGTTAGAGATAATGTGTAAGCATGGTGTCAGCTCCCTAAAAAAAAAAGGTCGACAACTCTGCGAAACGGCGGGGGGGGGGCAGAGGGATCTTTGCACCACAGCACGGGATATGCTTTACACGGCCCTGGCTGTGGCTCTCCACATGTTGTTGGACTCCAACTCCCATCAGACCCAGTCAGCATGGCTAGTGGTTAGGGATGATGAGAGTTGTTGTGCAACAACTTATGGAGGGCAACGTGTTCCCACCCTTGTGGTAAACAATGCTTTCTTTAAAAATGAAAGATTTAAATAAGAAGGGGGGAGGACAAAGAGAAAGGACCTGGGACTCAGGGAGGGGCCACCCCATAATAACCTCTGTCAAGGGCAGATAGCAGCAGAGAGGCATCATGCAAATGAGGGATTACTCCTCTGTTTTGCAAACTCTCTGTCTCTTAGGGACATAAGAAGCTGCCTTATTCTGAGTCTGACCATTGGGTCCCTCTAGCTTAGTACTGTCTACACTGACTGGCAGCTGCTGTACAGGGCTTCAGGCTGAAGACATTCCCAGCCCTACCTGGAGTTGCTGGGGATTGAACCTGGGACTTTTGCATGCAAAGCAGATGCTCTACCACTGAGGTTCACTGCTTCTCCTCTCCCCAAATCCTCTACCTTTATCAGAGCTGACTGGGAGAGGAATGAATAATCTTATGGAGCAAGGCGTCAAGGAAGGGAAAAAGCTCATGCTGATGCTATTCTAGGCTGCTTCAACAGATGTTTTTAAGCAGAGGTTGGATGACCATCTGTCATGGATGCTTTAGTTGAGATTCCTGCATTGCATGGGGTTGGACGAGATGACCCTCATGGTCCCTTCCAACTCTATAATAATTCTAGGTGATAAATTGCACCATAACTTCTCCAGCAATTTGAACACAAACAGCAGGGAACCGTTTGTTCCAAGGCCTGGAACTGCCTTGTTTCATTACAAAACAGAGCAGACATTATTTCTGTTGCTTTTGCAACACCACAGATAACTATTTCCAGCTTTTTCTCAACAGCCCAGGTTGTCTTTCATTCCATCCAAAGGGTAGCATTACAAAAGCCTTTGTCATGTTGCAGAGGAAGTTAGAAGTGCTGTGGTGAGTGCAACAAGCAGAACAGAAGAACAGGTCCTGGTTAAATAGCTTCATATCTCGGTGGTGGTGGAAATTGGCAAGGAGGACAATATTGATTTTTCATTGGGTTGGACTTCTCCTTGCCACCTACAAAGCATTCTCGCCTCTTCTCTCTTTTGCTGAACAATTCATTCTTCCACTGTATAGTGTGAGCAGGTTGGTTCAATGCTCGCCTGATGTTTAGACTCTTTTTCAAAAGCTGCAGTATAAACTGTGAAGTATGTCATCTTTGATTTTTTTTCATATAGGCGCTTCAGCAGGGTTTATTGAAAATAGCGATCCCCATCTCTGTTTTGACTGAAGGCAGAGGAAGACATTTCTTTATCTGCTATCTCATTTTTCCTCCCTTAGGAGCCCACAACACACTAGGTAACTGTTTTCACCAGACAGCCCATGCTACTCCTGAACAATATGAACTGCTTCTTTCAGGGGAAACAGGAGTAAAGTGGTGCTAGAACCCCAAACTTCCAGTAGTTAAGTGCAAACCCTATAGAAATAGTGGCTTGTTCAGCAGTCAATGGTCACTGTGAACACACTCAAGTACTGTAGCATGTTGCCCTCTTTCAAATCCCTGCTTGGCTATGAAGCTTTAAGGGTAGCTATGGGAAAATTGCTATTTTTCATCCTAGCCTACCTCATGGGATGGTTGTGCAGCAAAATGTCAATGTGAACTTCTTGGAAGAAGGGAGGATACCATTTTTAAACAAATGTATTGGGTATATCTTTCTCCTGTGCATGATCTGATTTTCATATTATTAATATTTAGTATTGTAATGCTTCGGAGCATCCAAAGGGCTTCCTGTACATTTTCTTGTGATCCTTACAACAGTCATGTGAGGCTGGAAAGTATTATCATATCTGATTCTGAGAGATGAGATTCCAAGGGACTGCCTGGTTCATAGCTCAGCATCTTAGCCAGAATATGACACCTGTATGCTCCTCATGCCCACATTAAGCTGATCCTGTCCACTGGCTCATTGTATGTTTCTAAAGACCTGCCTGTGTGCAAGGCTTGAAGGAGTGTATGTGGAGCAAAAATGTATTCCAGATTTGAGGTGCTATGTCTCATTAAATCTCTTTTCTTTGTTTGAATCATACAGGGCACTGTTTTTAGGGATGCCATGTCAATGTGTCTTTGTGGCCTGTGTGAGTTGTGCCGCATGGGCCGTGAAGTGCACACCCGCTCTCTGGATAAATAAGTAAATGGAGGGGAAAAGGTGGGTCTTGATGGAAAAGTAGCACTGGCATTTTTTCCCCTCGAGGACAAAAATTCTGTCAGAATCTGACGATCCCTAAGCACAGATTTCAGTCAGATGCCTAAAGGGAATACAGTGGTACCTCTGGTTACATACTTAATTCGTTCCGGAGGTCCATTCTGAACCTGAAACTGTTCTTAACCTGAAGCACCACTTTAGCTAATGGGGCCTCCCGCTGCTGCCGCGCCACCGGAGCACAATTTCTGTTCTCATCCCGAAGCAAAGTTCTTAACCCGAGATATCTGGATTAGCGGAGTCTGTAACCTGAAGCATCTGTAACCTGAGGTACCACTATACAGTCGTACCTTGGAAGTCAAACAGAATCCATTCCGGAAGTCCGTTCGACTTCCAAAACGTTCAGAAACCAAAGCGTGGCTTCTGATTGGCTGCAGGAAACTCCACAGAACCAGCGTCAGACGTTCGGGTTCCAAAAGAACATTTGAAAACTGGAACACTCACTTCCGGGTTTCGATTGTTCCGGAGCTGATTTGTTTGGGAGCCAATGCGTTTGAGTTCCATGGTACAACTGTATTTGAGTCCACTTGCAATTGGTTACTGCTGCAGCAGGGAAATCACACTGTTTAAATTCTGATAGTTGCTTAAATTGTGAAACTTTGAATTTTGCCATTTAGGAGGGAAAAGGAGGAGAGACACATGATAGGTTTATAAAATTATCCACACTATGGAGAAAGTGGATAGAAGTTTCTCTCTCTCTTTCACATTTGCACATTTGTAGCCTAAGCTCCAAGAGCCTGCCTGGACATTGAGAATCTGCCTCAGGGGCCGCGTTCATGTCTTCACCTGCCAGATCAATTTTGCTGGTGGGCATTAGAGACGGGGTCTTTTCAGTGATGGCCCACAATTTGAGTAAAAGAACAAGGGATGCAGGCGGCTATGCATTTGGAAGGGAACTTCACTGATTGAGGCAAGAAGGCGGAGCCAGGCCTGACTTTTGCACCTTGTCAATTGTGTGTTTGTGTCACTAAATGTGTTTACCATATGAAACTGCCTGAAGAACGCATGTGGGGATAGGGTTGCAAATGGCAACGACTTTCTTCTTCCCAGGCGCCTTAGGGCTGTGACTGGAACCGAGAGTGGTAATACTTAGTCCCGCCCTTTCCCTCACATGATGCTTCTATTTTGTTTTTTTTTTTTATTCAT